GAGAGAGAGAGAGAGAGAGAGAGAGAGAGAGAGAGAGAGAGAGAGAATATTTATCTAAACTAAAAATCAAATGACATTTAAGTTTAGTTTGTATTTTTCAAATGTTATGTTCAAAAACATAATAACAAACGATTTACTGATAAAAACAATTTAATACAAAAATTTTCTGAACCAATAGTTTGGTAGACATTATGAGAGAAATAAATGAAAGTAATAATGATTTTAATTATAATACGAGTGAAACAGACATTAAACTTATATCTAATGGCAAATTAAAAGTGAAAAAAGTGTTTAATTAAATCAAATTTAAAGTGTTTTTATAATAATAAGTGAAAACATATCTATTTTTATAGTGAAATGACACTAAAAATATAAATAGACTTTTAATTAGAGTTATAAATAAAAATTAAATATTAAAAAAAATTAAATGTCTGTAAATATAAACCTTCGGCCAAAGTTGCGGACCCGACGGTAGAGTCGAGTGGTCTGATCCCGGACTCTGTCCCGTAATTTACCGAAATCACCCATTATTTCAAACTTGTTTCAAAAGTATTATGGTAAAAACACACACAAAAACACTGATTGTACTTATTTGTTGTAATAAAAATAATAAAATAAGTAATTGTAATTAAAACACACAATAATGTTATCAGGGTATAAATATGTGGTAGAGTTAATCACTCGAGTAATACTGATATACAGTATTATAAATAATAAATATATTGAATTTCACGGTATATATGAGTCATACAACACAACAGTATATTATATCCTTGTATTTGATAAACAAATTGAAACTATTTTACGTAATATTTAAGATATTTATTTGACGACAATCAACGTGGTGGTAATATTGCTGTAGCCAGATCAATAAATGCACGATGGTTGAATGAGAGTTAATGAACTAGCTAGATTGTATTTTAACGTTACCAAACATGAGTGGTCAAAAAACTCGATGACAACACAATATATAAATTGTATTTATGAAGTCAAACACTCAGAACAAAAATATTATTTAGTTTAAACACTCATAAAAACGATGTAAATAATAGTTGCCTTAAAAATGAGAAACAGGTATAAAAGTGTTGAGTGTGAATGAAATGCCACACTTTGTAAATATTTAAAAATGATCAAGCTTGTATTTAATACAAACAATATATTGTATGTCTGATTGAACACTAATAAAGCGATACTTTTTTAATAGCGATTATTAATACAAAAGATATATATTTGTCGATAGATATCAATA